TACACAGAGAAGTTTCAGACACCAACTGAGTAAGCCCAGGGCCGTCTTTAACAAGGGGCAAACAGGGCAGCTGCCCCGGGCCCAGTTGCTCCTGGGGGGCCCAAGGCAGCTGCCCTGTGGGCCCCCTGCCTGCAGCCAGGTCTGAACAGCCCACCGGGATACTGAGAAATATCCCGGTGGGCTGCAGCAGGTGAGGTAATCAGGGGCCCCCGGCCCTTTAAGAGAGCTGCAGACCGGGCCTTGGTCTTCCTGCCTGCTGGGAGGAAGTGTTGTGAGGTCACTTCCTCCCAATTAACAGAGTGCCGCTGGGGAGGAGGAGGCATACATGGAGGAGGTACAGACCAATAACAAGCAGACTCCCATCAATCTCAGCCATCCAGCTCCCACTGGACCACAGGGAAGCCACACTTCTGTAGAGGTAAGGAGGGTGGCTAAACTATGTGAATTCATATGACTGTGTGTGTGTGTTTGTGTCAGTGTGTGTGTGTATCTGGCTGTATGTGTGTATGTGTATCTGGCTGTATGTGTGTGTATCTGACTGTGTGTGTATCTGGCTGTATGTGTGTGTATCTGACTGTGTGTGTATCTGGCTGTATGTGTGTGTATCTGACTGTATGTGTGTGTATCTGGCTGTATGTGTGTATGTGTATCTGGCTGTATGTGTGTGTATCTGACTGTATGTGTGTGTATCTGGCTGTATGTGTGTATGTGTATCTGGCTGTATGTGTGTGTATCTGGCTGTATGTGTGTATGTGTATCTGGCTGTATGTGTGTGTATCTGGCTGTATGTGTATCTGGCTGTATTTGTGTATGTGTATCTGGCTGTATGTGTGTGTATCTGGCTGTATGTGTGTATGTGTATCTGGCTGTATGTGTGTGTGTGTATCTGGCTGTATGTGTGTGTGTGTAACTGACTGTGTGTGTATCTGGCTGTATGTGTGTATATCTGGCTGTATGTGTGTATATCTGACTGTGTGTGTGTGTATCTGACTGTGTGTGTGTGTATCTGACTGTGTGTGTGTATCTGACTGTGTGTGTGTGTGTGTATCTGGCTGTGTGTGTGTGTATCTGACTGTGTGTGTGTATCTGACTGTGTGTGTATCTGGCTGTGTGTGTGTGTGTGTGTATCTGACTGTGTGTGTGTATCTGACTGTGTGTGTGTGTATCCGACTGTATGTGTGTATATCTCACTGTGTGTGTGTATCCGACTGTGTGTGTGTGTATATCTCACTGTGTGTGTGTGTATATCTCACTGTGTGTGTGTGTGTGTATCTGGCTGGCTGTGATTGTATCTGGCTGTGTTTGTGTCTGACTGTGTGTGTGTGTGTGTGTCTGTATCTGACTGTGTGTGTGTAAGTGTGTATCTGGCTGTTTGTGTCAGTGTGTGTTTATATGGCTGTGTTTGTGTCAGTGTACATGTACCTTTTGTGTCAGTGTTTATGTGTATCTGTGTGTATGTATACCTATGTGTCAGTTTGTATGTGTACCTGCTTGTCTGTTTATATGTACCTGTGTGTGTATGAGTGTCAGTATGTGTAAGTGTGTATCTGTGCGTGGGGCAATTCATACATCCCAGCTAACATTGCACACAAATGCAACCCTGCATTCCAACATTAACAATGCACACAAATACACCACTGCATGTGTATCTGTGTTCCTGTGTGTATCACTGTTTGTGTGAGAGTGCATCTGTGTGACAATGCATACATCCCAGCATTCCTACGCCAACACTGCACACAAATACATATGTATTTGTGTATATATCTGTGTCAGTGTGTGTAAGTGTGTATCTCTGTGTGTGGATGTGCCAGTGTTTTTATCTCTGTGTGTGCACGTGTATTTATGTATGTGGCTGTGTGTGTATACGCCAGTCTTTGTCAGTGTGTCCAGATGTGTGCATGTATCAGTGTGCTAATGTGTATGTATATCTGTGAATGTTGACATTCATACATCACGGCAATCAAACACAACATGCAACCACACCCCTGCAAACATTACATACAAACACACCCCTGAATTCAAACTCAAAAAGTATATGGAAACACATCCCTACACTTAAACACCAATACTACACCCTACATGCACACACATACTGTATACAACAACATGCTCACATTCAAATGCACAAACACTGCTCACAAATACAGCCCTGCAAAAATGGACAAATGGTAGATCCCCAGCTGGCATAGCATCGTTGGAATTGTACAACAGATGAGGATCTATCTTTTCTCTGCTCTTGCGCTAGAGGGAAGGCTCAAAACAATGTCTTGCACCAGGGCCCTGTCTACATTAGTTCTGCCACTGTGTTGGGGTGGAGGGCGTGATTGCATGCCAGAGAGTGAAAGTGTGGGGGGAGGGCGAGGGATGGCAGGATCCAGGGGGCCCAAACAAATGCCTGCCCAGTGTCCAATCAATGTTAAAGACGGCCCTGCACAAACTATTCCCCCATTTACCCTGTCACCTCACACCCCACACACATACAGTCACATTGTCACACTCAACCACCCCCTATACTCTCTCCTTACACTCAGTCACTCTGTTACAGTCCCCACCCCACATTCAGATACACATACACAAATATATACACTCACAAACACATAAAGATACTCACTGCCAGACAATACACTCTCAGGCACATATATGCTACTCAATGCTAGACATTGAGTAGCATATACTCCGGGGTTAAATAGGAGCATCCACCCTATTTAACCCCGGATGCCGCTAAGGTGCTGGTCCATGCTCTTGTTCTCTCTTGCCTGGACTATTGCAATACTCTTCTCAATGGTCTTACGTGTTCACAGATTGCACCGTTGCAATCTATAATGAGTGTAGCAGCAAGGCTCATTTTCCTTTCCGCTCGCACCTCCCATGCCTCCCCGCTCTGTCAGTCCCTGCATTGGCTTCCAGTTAGATATAGGGCATAATTTAAAATTCTGGTGCTTGCTTTCAAGTCCCTACATAATGCTGCTCCAACCTACCTATCTTCCCTAATACACAAGTATGTCCCGTCAAGGCCCCTACGCCTTGCCAAAGACTTACGTTTATCTTCTGTCCGTACTCCCACCTCTAATGCTCGCCTCCAAGACTTTTCCAGGGCTGCACCTCTTCTGTGGTTTTTATTCCCCACCACCCATGATTCCTCTCCTGCAACTGTCAAAAATTACCTACTAAGCCCTCAGTGAATACTTTTCTAATAACCTACTTCGTACCCCTACTTTTACCCTTTGTGTCACTATACCCCATTCCCTCTAGAATGTAAGCTCATTGAGCAGGGTCCTCCACCTCTCTGTTCCTGTACGTCCAGCTGTCTGGCTACAATTACATGACTGTTAGTCCACCCATTGTACAGCACTACGGAATCTGATGGGGCTATATAAATAATAAAATAACAATAATAATAATGTACACACAGGTACCAGTACAAACTGCCAGACACACATTGTATTTTCCATGTAAATTCAAAGTGAATTTCAAATTTCAGGTAAAGTAGCCAAAGTGGAAGCATGAATGACTTTAAAAATGTTTACGGTTTGGCAATTTTGGCCTTAAATTTTAAATTCACTTTAATCTCCTGGAATTTCTCACTTTAGTGAATAACCCTGATCTGATAGTTTTGTTTTTTGGCAAGTTCAACTCAACAACCTCTTGTCCCCATGAGGGTACTTATAACACCTTGACTCAGGAAGTACTTAGAAACTAGGTAAAGCTGAATGCAAATTCCCTGGTCATATACCTTAAAAGGACATTACACTGCTCAAATAAAAATGTAAAAAAATAACAACTGTTTACTAGATATATTCCCAATGAAATCATACATGCACTTTATTATGCATTTCTTTTTAATTGCGGGTATGTCTAAAAACAGCTTGCAAAAGCTTTAGATCTATTTTATTGTCATGGTCAAATATAAAATGTTTATATGCTGTCTACCTTGGAGAAACATATAGGGTTTTTTTCACTAAAGTATACAATGTCGTGCATTAAAAGTACATTTCTGGTTTTAGGTCAATTTAGTCAAATTTTAAAAAAAAACTGCTGTGTTTTCAGTGTGTAAATGTTGGCTTAAAATTTGAAATTCACTTTGAAATTCAATAATCCTTATATTGCAGTATTGGATTATGTTTAAAGCAAAACTTTACAACTACGCATGTTTTAGTACTTGCTATGTCTACTATAGAATATTTATCCAATTCATATTGTAGGGAAGAACACGCTACCCAGACACAACTAAAATAAAATATTTATATATAAAATTGAACAGTGCATGAAGAAATTGTCAAAATTAATGCTCCCCCTCCCTTTAACTCCTTAAGGACTGGCCTGTTTTTGCGATGTTGTACGTTAAGGACCAGAGCGGTTTTAACACTTTTGTGGTGTTTGTGTTTAGCTGTAATTTTCCGCTCTCTCATTTACTGTTCCCATACAAGTTATATATTGTTTTTTTTCAGGACAAGAAGGGCTTACTTTACATACCATTTTTTGTATCATGTCATATATTTTACTTTAAAAAAATAAAATAAAATAAAATATGGTGAAAAAATGAAAAAAAAGTTTTTGAACTTTTAATTGAAAAATCTTTTGCTTATCTACAAGCTAATTAAAAAAAACTGCTAAATAGATTCAAAATTTTGTCCTGAATTTAAAAACACCCAGTGTTTACATGCTGTTTTGCTTTTTTTGAAGGTTATATGGCTATAAGTACAAGTAGGAAATTGCTGTTTTAATATATATTGTTTTTAAATGTATCAATAGTGACATTGTAACACTATTATCTGTCATAAATCTCTGAATCACACCCCACATCTACATTTTTTTTTTTAAGTAGACAACCCAGGTTATTCAATATGGGGTATGTCCAGTCTTTTTTAGAAGCCACTTAGTCACAAACACTGGCCAAATGTAGCATTTATATTTGTTTCCGTGTTAAAAATGCAAAAAAACGCTAACTTTGGCCAGTGTTTGTGACTGTGGCGACTAAAAAAGGCTGAACATATCCCATTTGCAATACCTTGTGTTGTCTTATTTTGCAAATGGTATACCATCATGGGGGTAATTCTCATTCCTGGGCTACCATACGCTCTCAAAGGCAACATAACCAATCTGACAAATTTCAATAAAAAAAAAGTAAAATCAAGCCTTATATTTGACCCTGTAACTTTCAAAAACATTATTAAACCTCTACATGTGGGGTACTGTTATACTCGGGAGAATTCGCTGAACACAAATATTAGTGTTTCTGAACAGTAAAAAGTATCACAGCAATAATATCATCAGTGAAAGTGCCGTTTGTGTGTGCAAAATGCAAAAAACGTCACTTTCACTGACAATATCATCGCTGTGATATGTTTTACTGTTTTGAAATACTAATATTTGTGTTCAGCGAAGTCTGTCGAGTAAAACAGTACCCCCCATGTACAGGTTTTAGGGTGTCATAGAAAGTTACAGGGTTAAACACAGTGCTAGAAAGTCTCTGGACTTTCAGCCTGGGTTGTCAGGCATGTCTCTCAAATTGCAATCAATAAAATTACTTAATTATGTAAAAATATTACATAAATATGCACGTAGAATTTAAATATATATACATATTTATATATTGGAAGTCTACATGTATATTTATGAAATTATTTATGTAATTATGTATATGGACAAATGTATATTTTGTATTATTTTTATTTACTTATACATATATCATTTCATTCTAAGTGTATTTTGATATATATATATATATATATATATATATATATATCAAAACACCGTTAGAATAAAATTACATATATATATAAAAAAAAATTTAATTTTTTTAAAAATGTTTTAATTTATTTTTTTTTACTTATTATTTATATTTTGTAATATATATATATATATATACAATATATATAGTTATTATATATATTATATATGTGTGTGTAATTTAATTATACGTGTATTTTTCTATTAATATATGTATATATAAATATAAAAATACACTTAGTATGACATTATATATATGATATATATACATATATTATATATATATATATAATACATGTATATATATCTTATATATATACACATATATTGGTTTTTTTTTTAAACTGATTGATTTTATTTTACTTTTTTTTTTATTTTACAGATGAAGGGAGACTGCCTGTCAGCACAGACAGTCCCCCTGCAGGCAGATACACAGGCACCTATTGCGGCCATGTGATCGAGAGATCACGTGGCCGCGGGGTCCTGATCTGCCGTGGGGAGACTGTCTGGGCAGACAGGCAGTCATCCTGGACCAGGAGAAACGCTGATCGCCATCGGGGAACGAAGACGATCAGGTAAGTACCCCAAGACCGTTATGACGGTTCAGGACTGTCATCGGTCCTCAAGGGGATGTTTGCGATGACGGTCCTGAACCGTCATCAGTCGTCAAGGGGTTAATACTGTTCAATATGTTTTCTTTTTATTTTATTTTTTCCATTACTAATGTTAGTCATAAAGTATTGTAATAACAAAATAAGATAATGTATTCAATAGTCCACTCTCTCATATGTGTCCACTTGTCAATGCTGTGCGTTATCTTTCTTACAAGGCTAAATAAAGCCCAGGAATGATGCACCTGTGACAGGGAGGGGTGCAAAACCAAGAAGTTGGCTAGACACATATATACATATATATATATATATATATTAAACCAGGGTGCTGCACTCACCTGAACATGCATAAATGGGGTGCTGCTGGGGGCCAATTTATGCAATACACAAGATCCAGCGCACTCACTTGTCCACTAAATAGCAACTTCAATGTTGACAGATTGTATTAGTTGTTTTTTTTTAACCCCTTAAGGACACATGACATGTCATGATTCCCTTTTATTCCAGAAGTTTGGTCCTTAAGGGGTTAAACTCCTAATCTAGGCAAACATAATGGGGGTTTAGTTACATTATATGATCATACATTGCATAAGCCTGCCACAACGTCAATGTACCCTATCTTTGGCAGGTCCTACTCTAACAGTCTAATGTCTGCTATTATGAGATTAACCCAAATAAAATCTAACCTTATACAATTTGTCAGCATTGAAGTTGCTATTTAGTGGATAAGTGAGTGCGCTGGATCCTGTGTATTTTAGTCAGGCCTGTATCATCCACTTTTCCAGTCCATGGTGGTGTTAAGTAAAACCACTATTTTAATAAATTATATAAATTTTACAGGAAGGCAAGATTTTAAAAATATGAGTAATGTCCCAGAAGACAGTGCGGATGATTATTCTTTATCTACATGAATATCAAGAACATTCTCTGTAGGTTCATTTAGCGATGACTGTTTAAATAGAAAGAGATGGGCGATCATATTCTTGGATGGGAGATAAAGTAAATATTTAAATCTTCTGACATAAAGCAGACAATCTGCTGTGTGTGGTAAGTCCTCTGCTCATTGCAATGGATGACATAAATCACAGACTCTGGCTACATTATTCAGTATTTTATAGTGTTATTTTCAGTATCTCTTTGATATTTCATTTACACTAAAAAAATTCATAAGTGTTCCAGAGCATGAATTATAACCTCTACACTAAGCTATGTGGAATTGCTTTAAGCCAGCAGATTTGTGTAACTCCAAACAAATACCTGGCAAGATGCTAGGATTTACTATCAGTTTATCTTCTCTCAGACATATAGTATGTGTGTCTCTGTGCTAATGGATTACAATGCCACCCATTGGGTTCCCGCATGTAGTTTCAACTACATTACCGGGAAAAAAAAAACATGCAAAATTCCACACGTTTCTGACCTCAGAAATGTCTACGTGGAAAGGTGGCTTACTGATTGCTTATTAAAAAGTAACTCCACAAGATGACTGGTCATCAACTTATACAGTAAGTGGACGTCACATTCTCCAGTCTTCACCTTTCTGGTTCATGACCAGATGTACATGTTTTTTTTTTTATACTTGTTATAATGGATCTGTCACATTGATATGTTTGTGACATTCAGAGGGTCTATTCAGTAAATGGCATTCAGCTGCCATTCAGTTGCCGTGATATGGCTGTTATCACTCTAGTTAACCCATTTGGCTATTCAAAGGCAAATTTTGTTTATGTTAACCAAATTTACACATCCTTTTAACTGTCATTTGATTGTCTGACCAGCTAAATATACATACATAATGTGCTGATTAAAAAAATTCAGAATTGCAACTGAATTCCTTTCGTACAGTTGAATCATTTTCCTAGATACAGACTAGGAGAAGCAAGATAAGTTACCCAAACACTTATCCCAGCTTCTTCACATCTTGTCTCTGTTATATTTTGTATCTGAATTACTTGTTGTCAAACATTCCCATTTTATAATTGTAAAGCGCCGCGGAATATGTTTGCGCTATATAAATAATAATAATGAATGACACCCAAAAAATCCCAATTATTCTTTTTTTTTTTTAGGTTATAGTTTTGGAAACATTACAGTAATTAGTTAATTTGATTACTTAAAGATGTTATGGCGGCCGACTTAGGGCGCACCGGTCCGGGGGCGCACTGTCCGGAGTTTATCTACTGTCTTCCAAATCAAAACCTACTATTTGAAAGTAAAATAACTAAGCTGTAGTGTTGTGCTAGGCCTGCAGTGTTTATTCGCTGATGATAAATAATTAGCGCTTTTTGGAATAATCTTTACACCATCACTATGAGAAATCTATACATATCACCAGTCAAATCTCATGGGACTTACATATATCCAGTCACTATGCTCTTGCTGAACATTCAAGGTGGGAGTGGCCTATTTAAATACTTATCTGCCTTGAATGCTCATTTTCCATGTAGCCCTCCAGTAAGTCGAACTGAAGGGCAAAGATTTTATTTATTTTTTTGCAATGTCATGCTTTCTATGTTTCCATCTTTTTTATATATATTTTATATGGTTACAGTGAGGTGGATTTTTTTGCCATCAATATATTCTGGAATACTATAGGCACCAAAGCAACAACAAAAAACAACAACTTTATCTTAATGTAGCAGTTGTGATGTATATATCATACCCTAGAGTCTCACCGTTCATTTCCTTGCCATTTAGGAGTTACATAGTAACATAGTTGTCCATCAAGTTCAGCCTTTCTGATATCTGTTTATGTCTGTTGATACAAAACAAGGCAAAAAACAAAACAAAACTGTTTTAAGCACTGCCAATTTTGCAATAAACTATGAAAAAATAATATACTATGAAGATCCTTACTATTATCCCACTAATTAAAAATGATATCCCTTTTGCAAGTATTTATCCAACTGCTGTTTAAACATCTGTATAGACTCTGCTAACACCACCTATTCAGGCAGAGAACTACACATCATTGTTGTTCTTACTGTAAACATCCTTTCCTTTGCCTTAGACTAAATCTCCTTTCTTCCAGTCTAAATGTATGACCTTGTATTCTATGTATAGTCCTTTTGATAAATAGTTTCGAGACAATGGTTTGTATTGGCCCTGAATATATTTTTATACGGCTATCATATCCCTTCTGAGGTGTTGTTTCAAAACGAAAGAGATTCAAATTTGTTAACCTTTCTTCATAACTAAAATGCACCATTCCTTCTATTCATTTTGTAGCCTGCCTCTGCACTTTTTCTAGTGCCATAATATCCTTCTTGTTTATTAGAGAACTATAGGAAGGTACACACTGCTGAAACTATTTTTTTTTTTCAAAATTATCCCTGGGTGGGCACTGAATCCAGTTTAATAAGAATACCTAGTCTTTAAGTATGGACTAATTTACAGTCGTTCTCCCATGACGTCATTTCTGTGAACAATTCCATCCATGGCTTAGTTAGAAAGATTTAAAAAATTTCAAATATACAACAAGTAATAATATATTTTCCACTTGAAAAAATAATTATGATGATTTTATTAAAGGTATATTTCACAGGAAAATATACAATAACATCTCTTCTTTGACATTGTATGGTACAATATATAAGTTCAGAAATTATTACACTGATTAATCACATGAATGGTGATGTGGGGTCTTTGAACAGACTGACGCCAAATTCAGTTGTCAAAGGTTGAGAAATGAAAGAGAAAACCACAAAAGATGCATAAAAAAAAAATCAAACAATGAACAAATAAGCCTTAAGACTGCTGCTAAACAATTTATTTGTTAGCTATGGCAACAATAATAATACTATATAATGAAAGACAGACCACACAGACTATGGACTATTTAGGAGCCACACGATTATATTTCCCAACCCCTAAAGCACAACTAATATTCTTTTATATATATATATATATATATATATACATATATATATATATATATATATATATATCTTTTCTTTCAGGAAGTGTTCCGGAGGATTGGAGGAAGGCAGATGTGGTTCCTATATTCAAAAAGGGTTCAAAATCCTTGCCTGGAAATTATAGACCTGTGAGCTTAACTTCTGTGGCTGGGAAAATATTTGAAAGGTTATTAAGGGATAATATTCAAGAATTCCTTGAGAAGAACATGGTTATCAGCAAAAATCAGCACGGTTTTATGAAGCACAGGTCATGTCAAACTAACTTGATTGCATTTTACAAAGAAGTAAGTAGAAGTATAGATCAGGGTGTTGCAGTGGATGTGATCTATTTGGATTTTGCCAAGGCTTTTGATACAGTTCCACACAATAGATTAGTGTTAAAACTCAAGGAAGTCGGTCTAGATGAAAATGCTTGTTCTTGGGTAGAACATTGGCTTAAAAATAGAGTACAAAGAGTTGTCGTTAATGGTAAATTTTCAAGCTGGACAGAGGTGGCAAGTGGTGTCCCTCAGGGGTCTGTTCTGGGACCCCTTCTATTTAACATGTTTATAAATGTTTTTGAAGAAAGCATTGAAAGTCATGTTTCAGTGTTTGCAGATGATACAAAACTCTGTAAAATAATACAATGTGAGCAAGATATTACCTTGCTGCAGAGGGATTTAGATAGACTGGGGGACTGGGCACTCAAATGGCAGATGAAATTTAATTTTGAAAAATGCAAAGTTATGCACTTCGCCGTAAAGAATACACAATCAACGTATACCCTTAATGGAAGCAAATTAGGGATAACAACACACGAAAAGGACTTGGGAATTGTTATAGACAACAAACTATGTAACAATGTGCAATGTCAATCAACAATGGCCAAGGCCAGTACGGTATTGTCATGCATGAAAAAGGGCATTCATTCTCGACACAAGAATATAATTGTGCCTCTTTATAAATCACTGGTAAAACCACATATTGAATATGCTGTGCAATTTTGGGCACCTGTTCTAAAGAAGGATATTATGGCACTAGAAAAAGTGCAGAGGCAGGCTACACAATTAATAAAAGGAATGGAACATATCAACTATGAAGAAAGGTTAACAAATTTAAACCTATTTAGTTTAGAAAAACGTCGCCTGAGAGGGGATATGATAACATTATACAAATATATTCAGGGCCAATACAAACCATTGTGTGGAAATCTATTCACAAACTGGACTTTACATAGGACACGAGGTCATGCGTTTAGACTGTAAGAAAGCAGATTTCGTCTAAGGCAAAGGAAAGGTTTTTTTTACTGTAAGAACAACAAGGATGTGGAATTCTCTGCCTGAAGAAGTGGTTTTATCAGAGTCCATACAGATGTTCAAACAGCTACTAGATGCATACTTGCAAAAACAGAATATTCAAGGATATAATCTTTCAATGTAGGGTAATAGCTGCTTGATCCAAGGATAAATCTGACTGCCATTCTGGGGTCAAGAAGGAATTTTTTCTTAGTTTGTTGCAAAATTGGAAGTGCTTCAAACTGGGTTTTTTTTTGCCTTCTTTTTGGATCAACAGCAAAAAACAAATGTAAGGAAGGCTGAACTATGTTACTATGTAATATAATAAAAATCTAAATAGTATGATTGGTCCCAGTTCCGTAGTCTGTATCAACCAATGTGCATCCTACATTCCATTTTGATCAAGGGCAAAAAAAAACTTGTGATATATTAAGATATATCACCATCCATGGTGCTTTCTAAAATGCACCAAAGTTTGCAACACAGAACTTATACACAGAACTTATGTTAATAGGGATTATGGATAAAGCCAGCTCCTATGATACGCATATGTGAAATTGTGCCAAAGAAATTTCATGTAATACATATGTTTACAATCCGCTCACGTCTTTCATTTTGAACGCACCAAGTAAATGATTTTCAGTAAAAGATAATTGTGTGTGTTTCATATTATTTTGTTAGAACAAAATTACCTCTGGTATTCATCTCCACTATGTGTGGTAAATATTGGTGATATAAGGTAAATCCCTTCCCTTTTGTTAAAATTATCAAATCAAAAAATTAACCCAAATGCCGCTGTAGATTTTAGTAATAATTAGGACCAGGGATAACTGGAAATTCTATATTTCTCTAACACTACCAGGAAATACAGTCCTCGCTTCAAAAATGTAAATATTTACTGATGTTCAAAGATAAAAACAGATTCCATCCCTTTAATGTTACATAATGCACCTACAATATGGAAAACATTACATAAATATTGGCTATGTACTTAAATCTGATTTTAATCAAATACAGTTCTAAGGAAAGCATTTAGATATTTTTGACGCATCCAAGAAATCTATTATTGAAGAAATGTATGAACAAAAGGGATGTACTTCACTGTTATGAATAAGACTTTTATGTTTCGTTTAGCAAAACATGTGCCCTTTTCACACAAAGTACCAGAGTAGAAAGTGCCAGTTTGAGGTAATAAAATTGCATAAACACTTTCACTTGTTGCAGAGCTTTCCTTATCTGGCTATCGGAGACAAGAAACATTATTAAATATAGTCTGTACTGTTACACTCACTGTGTACCCACGCATTTAATGATTTCCAGATGTGGCAGTCGTGACTTTGAGGCCCTAAATTGTACGTAGTTAAACGTTCTTCCTGTATCCTGATTTTGTATCAATCACACTGGACAATGCTGGCAGTGGGAAAAGAAAACTAATGAGCCCAGGCAATATTGGAGATTTCAGGATAATTCTGAAGAAGGAAAGCTCCTCTGGGACAGCCATTTGCAGTGATATCCTGTTTCAAAGCTGGGGATTGATTTTAAATAGCACCACACAAAGCAAAGAAAAATGGAAAGGTACAAAAACAGAGCCACAAATAAACTGGAAAAATTGTCATGGCTAAATTAAAAATTCTTGATTTTTGCAAAGTGTAGATGTAAAGATCTGTTGTAATTGTGAAAAGCATTATCAGATTTTTTTTATGAAATACAAATAGCTTGTGCCATGTGCATAGTATACGCAACACGTGTAACTAGGTAATGGTTTTGATCGCGAATGTGAACATTTTTTTTATAGGACATTGTATTGTGTACATTATATATTTTCATTAGTGCCTACCTCATTAGTGACTGACAGATTTAATGCATTATTTAATGCATTATTAACTAGAATACTGCTCGCTCCCAGGTTGATAAAATTGCTAGCAGGGCCGGATTTGCATGGTAGAAATAACAATAACCCCAAGGCACACCAATTTGCACATAAAAAAGAGTTTATTCATACATACAAAGTACATCAGAATATCTTAACAGAAGTAAAGTGCATAGTATAGTGCATAGCCCATTAATAGTACCAAAAACCACAGTACTAGAGTGGTAGATGCAATCACCCATTAAAAAGGTATACTGACCAAGAGCAGGAGAAATAAAAACCCTGACCCGGATTTACATGGCACAGAAATCAAAGACCATCCAGCCTCACCCCCCAAAAAAGGAGGATAATATGAGTTTAACCCCTTAAAGACCAAACTTCTGGAATAAAAGGGAATCATGACCTGTCACACATGTCATGTGTCCTTAAGGGGTTAAAGGAGCACTATAGTGCCAGGAAAACATACTCATTTTCCTGGCACTATAGTGCCCTGAGGGTGCCCCCCACCCTCAGGGTCCCACTCCCGCCGGGCTGGATGGAGAGGAAGGGGTTAAACAGCAGACAGGAGGAGACTCTCCTCCTATTTTCCCCATCATCGGCTGAATGCGCATGGGACTTGGGACTAATAAAAGAGTTTATTTAGGTTTTGGAGAGATTAAAATTAGGGTTAGGGATAAGGGGTGTGTATGGTACAGGTATGTGGAGTTTTTTAGGGTTATTTGCAACGTACTCCTCCTCCTACGATTTACAGTAGAACTTCAGGAGCGGTTATACAGTGTGCACCCCCTCCTTTCACAAAGTAAAGGAAGTTTCACTGGGTGACAGCATTCTTACAATCAGGAAGGGGGAGGAGTGAACGGGCTCTACCATTTCACTGTCAGCATTACATTAACAGTCCATAGATTGATAAACATTACTATAGCAATTTTAAATAACTTTATTTTAGAAATACATAATTTAACTGTATTTACTATATGCTGGCATATCACTCAAAGCAGACATGCTTTTCACATTCTGTTGCCATTTTCAGCAATGCCTTACAAATACCTATAAGCAAGGTTTTGGGGTATTGTATTTATATATCTGTGTTTTATGTGAGAGCAATTGCATTTTTGCTTTAATACTAACATTTCAGACTCTGTGTGACGATAAAGGACACTGTATACTGTCTAAGGCTTTTCATTTCCCAAATATTTTTTATAAAGGATGGACAAATAAGTATAAAATACAAATGGTGTAAATGTACATATTTTTTAATTTTATGCAAAACTGCTGTGTTATAATGTGTTTATATGATAGCTATAAACTCCTTGCTTTAACCCCTTAAAGACAGAGGCAATTGTACACATTCTGATCAAAACAAAATGTAAACAAAACCATTCATTTGTGCTATATGTCTGTTCAACCGTTAATCACCTTTCATATTACAGTATATGCACCCCCACTTATTATATAACATTTTTTTTAGGAGAAAGAAGGCTTTTTTTGCATATCAAATATTTAATTACAAAACAAAATTTAATATGAATAAAATAAAAAAATAAAAAGTGTTGAAAACTAAGAAATGTTGTTATTTTATTAGTTCTGTGGGGCATTTTAACTGTTAGCCTTTACTGAAATAAAATATACATATTTGTATTTTGCAATGTCTCACGAGTGCAAAAGTACCCCCCGTGTACTGATTTTATTGTGTTTTAGAAAGTTACAGGGTCAAATATAGGGATTCCCCCTTTCCAGTTATTACACACAGATTGGTTATGTTGCCTTTGAGACAGTATGGTCGCCCAGGAATGAAAATTACCCCTATCATGGCATACCATTTGAAAAGGAAACAACCCAGGGTATTCAAAATTGGATATGTCCAGTCTTTCTTAGTAGCCACTTAGTCACAAGCATTCATATATGTTTTTCTGCATTTTTTTACACAAAAACAGCATTTCACTGGGGATTTTATCGTCCTGATAAGTTTTACTGCTTCAAAACACATTTGTGTTCAGCAAAGTACCACCTATGTACAGGTTTTATGGTGATTTGCAAAGTTACAGGGTCAAATATAGGGCTTGCAAATTAGTCAGGCAGGGCCCTCAAAATGTAACTAGTAAAATCACATAATTATGTGAAAAGATATGGATATAAATATATATATATATATATATATATATATATATATATATAAATATGAAAAGCACTCTAGGGACTTCATATAACGTGAAAATAAGTAAACTTAGCTTTATTCAGCAACTGCCAAAAGTGATCAACGTTTCAGTCCCATGTCGGGATAACTTTTGGCAGTTGCTGAATAAAGCTAAGTTTACTTTTTTTTCACCTTATATGAAGTACCTAGAGTGCTTTTCATATTTTTCATATTTTTCTATCTATTATTTGTGCTGACAAGCACTGGGCTATACATACTTCTGTACTGGAGTGCAAGCATTGGACAATATTATATATATATATATATATATATATATTTAAAGTCTATGTGTATATTTATGTAATTGTATATATATGTATATATATAAATATATATATATATATATATATATATATATATACCCAGGACATACTTGAAAACAAGAGAAATCTCAATGTATCATTCCTGGTAAAATATTTTAAAATATATATATATATTATAATAATAATTTTTTAAAAATTTAAAAAAAAATAAAAAAATAAAAATATATATATATATATATATATATATATTGTTTTTCCATATATATATATATATATATATATATATATAAATCAATAAAGGGAGCACACCAGGACTTCAATATAGTGCAAAAAGTATTTACTGTATCCAAAACATGATACAAATTCTGTGCAAAGAGAATCAACGTTTCGACCCTGCTGGGGTCTTTATCAAGATCACAGTGAAGTGTGGTTATAGTGAACAATATATACATACAGATAAAATGTCGCTTACCAATCAGATATTCGAGACCCCGATCAGCTACCGAAACCGGAAGTGAGAAGACCACGTGACCAGTGCATATCATGTGACTAGGTTGCCAAGTAACCTACGTGTTAATGCTACAAACAGAGGATCGGGCGGCCGGCGCCGCCGTGATACCCGGAAGTGCTCAAACCACGTGGGAGTGGTCATGTGACAGAGATTCATGTAACGAGGTTGCTAAGCAACCAATCTAACAATGTTTAATTCTTCCTTCTCTATCCGGAGATCGAAGAAGCAGATAACAAATTCTACATATGGAGGACAGAATCAAATAAAGGCCCCACTATACGGATGATCCATAAGTGAAAAAAGTGCAAAGTGCCAAAGATCATATACATGTGCAAATCAGTGAAAGAAGTATATATAAACTACAAAACAGATCAATCCCTACTGGGGAAATACAAAATCAATACTACACGTACAAAATTCTAGATATATACATATATGCATCAACAGTGCATTATATTGTGCTATAGTCTACCCAATAATTAGAACAATATTTCTCTTATTAGTATACTGATATTTAATCTATTGAAATCCAAGCAGAAGCATAGAGCATACTACACGCTCTGTGTGAGTATAGAGCAAGGACTCTAAGTCCTAAATGTGTACTAGTAGGCTCTACGTCCTACATACCATACGGCACTGACCATATCCTATCTACATTTACTCTCCATGGTCAATCTACATTCAAATATATGCAACAAATGCACTGTTGATGCATATATGTATATATCTAGAATTTTGTACGTGTAGTATTGATTTTGTATTTCCCCAGTAGGGATTGATCTGTTTTGTAGTTTATATATACTTCTTTCACTGATTTGCACATGTATATGATCTTTGGCACTTTGCACTTTTTTCACTTATGGATCATCCGTATAGTGGGGCCTTTATTTGATTCTGTCCTCCATATGTAGAATTTGTTATCTGCTTCTTCGATCTCCGGATAGAGAAGGAAGAATTAAACATTGTTAGATTGGTTGCTTAGCAACCTCGTTACATGAATCTCTGTCACATGACCACTCCCACGTGGTTTGAGCACTTCCGGCCGCCCGATCCTCTGTTTGTAGCATTAACACGTAGGTTACTTGGCAACCTGGTCACATGATATGCACTGGTCACGTGGTCTTCTCACTTCCGGTTTCGGTAGCTGATCGGGGTCTCGAATATCTGATTGGTAAGCGACATTTTATCTGTATGTATATATTGTTCACTATAACCACACTTCACTGTGATCTTGATAAAGACCCCAGCAGGGTCGAAACGTTGATTCTCTTTGCACAGAATTTGTATCATGTTTTGGATACAGTAAATACTTTTTGCACTATATTGAAGTCCTGGTGTGCTCCCTTTATTGATTTATATATATTGGAACGCGGGATTGCACCTAGGCAGTTGATTCCAGACCAGAAGAATTTTTAGGAGGAGTGCCTTGCCCATTCATTTTTTGTATATATATATATATATATATAAAAAATATCCAACGAATAGCTGCACTCACGGTGATTAAAAAGTAAAATTTATTAGAAATGGATTAAAACATCAATGATCAACGTTTCAGTCCGTCCAGGACTTTCCTCAGGATCAATAAAAAGATGAAAAACAATATATGCACAAAACAGGACATTTATACATAGATCTATTAAGGATGTAAACTTACCCCAGGTGAAAACCGCCATACTATCGGCGTCTCAATCCGTTCAGTGCGCCTGTGCGAACCGACCCCGCCCCCCGTCATGACGTCATGACGTGATCGTGGCCAGGTCATTGCCATAGTGATGCTAAATAACAAAGCGTCACAGCTATTAGACGTATGCCGGCAAACAGATCGCCATGACCATTGCCATGGTGATACTGATAAACACAGCAACTCCATCGGCACTAGATAAGAGAGGGCTCACTCGGGATGAAACATTAATATGATCAAAAAAGCATGTGAAAAAAAAAATGTAAAAACAATGTAGAAATGTGGGTGTACAATGTCTAAGTGAACTATACAATATATTAGATTAATAGTTGTCAGTGCAGTTATAGTGTTTTAAGATATGGCATATTTAAATGAATGTGTGTACAAATTCCATATCATATATTAATAGGTGCATAGCCAGTGTACCTGAATAACTGATGCAACCATGTAAAAGTGTATATCGTGCTCATTAGAAAAATGTCTATTGCAACATACAGAACCACCCATATTTGGGACTTAGTTAAAGTGACAATGCACTGGACAGAATATATATGTACCTTCCATATTAATTAAAGTGACTAGATAAAATATGATAAACAATGTCAAGTATAGTGAAAAAAAGTGCAATAGTGCTAAGTGATGCAATATAAAGTGACATATAGTGTAAAAAAATCACTTCTCTCATTTTAACCCTATGTGTAAACAAAGTACATATCCAGTATCATAAATACTCTTATAGCTGACAATATATACATATCCACATAAAACATATAAACAAATATATATAAAAATACTGGGAATATGCCGTCAGGGCTTCCAACAATGTTATCATTAAGCGATTGTTCGACAACCTCGCCTATCTGGTACTTTTACTTGGACAAGTGTTTATATGTAAATCTATATATATGCTATGGATGCTGCTATTTCAGCTATCCAATATCAAGAACCTAAATTGAAAATAGTCGTTGTATCCCCGGCGACATAACCCAGCATTATATATTAAAATCAAAGAACCAATACCTGGGGCAAAACTTTGGTTAAGTCAATACATATACATTTGTACATATATGAATTTATGCATTAATCCCAATGGTGCAGTTCAATACTACACTAAGGAGCTATAAGAACGAGTGAAAGGAAATGCACTCATTTAAACCCTTAGGAAACACCGTGTCCAGCTCATAAATCCAAAATGTCTCTCTGTTTAAAAGCAATTTCCCCCTGTCCCCAGCACGTCTTGATATTGGGACATGGTCAATCACTATGAATTTTAGTGTGGTCATCGGATGGTTAAAATCCAGAAAATGTTTCGCCACCGGTTTGTCCGATACACCATCCCTATAGGCCAATTTAATACTGGATCTATGTCCCCTGATCCTTTCGCATAATGCCGTCTCAGTCTTTCCAATGTATGCTAACCCACACGGACAAGTGAGTTTGTATATCACGTGGGTGGTTTTACAAGTGATAGTACTTCTAATGATGTATTTCTTGTTAGTATGAGGATGCTGGAAAAACTTTGAAGGGGTCATGTGTCCACATGTTACACACCCCAGACAGCGAACACTACCTCTATATTGTATCGTAGTGTTATCTGTATAACTCAGGATGGGGTCTGTATGAACCAGCAGATCTTTCAAATTTTTGTTTCTCTTGAAACAAACTAAAGGTTGTTCCGAGAAGACCTTAGGGAGAGTGTCATCTGCAGCCAATATTCTCCAGTTCTTTCTAATGATCGAGGACACTTGACTGGTAGACCGATGGAATGTAGTGGGAAAAACCATTC